AGAAGTGCTACCGCGTGCTTCGGAGGAGTAGGGGTGGAGCCGTCGATAAAGCGTTTGAGCTGAGCTATCTCGAGCTAGGGCTCAATCGATTCTACCCAGGATGACAGGTCGTGACGCCCTTCTAACGGCCTAGGCACGGCGATCTTGTCTGGAGTGAATTTAAAGTAGCCATAGTCAGGCGCTATCCCGACGTCTCTTACCGCAGAGCTTTGCGGTATAATGCCGGGCATAACGTCACTATCGCGCTCCTCTACATGTCCTCCTCCAACAACGCTTCGCCGCCCTATCTCGTCGCGCTCGCGCGATGCTGCCGCTTGATGCACACGCTCCTGAACGCCACCCATACTAGCAGTGCTACCGTGTACGTTTCCTCTGAGAACGCCACGAGCGAAACGCCGCTCGCTCGCCACACTAGCTCTATCTTCATCGTCGCTAGCCGTCACTGACGCACCTTGCGGAATTCCAGCCTGCGCGTTCTCCGCTACCGGAAGAGAAGGGTGGTCACGTCGCCACCTCGCTCGAATCCCTTCCAGCATTAGCTCATAATCCTCGTCATTAATCTCTCCGCGAGAACGACGCGTGTGCAGAATCTCCTCTAGCTCGTGCAGTTCAGTGACGTCAACATTCGCCTCCTCCGCGTTCGCCATTACTGCGACCTTTCTACAGACCAACTATCAGCTAGTATAAACTGCTATTTACTTGATTCCCTCGTCTCGGGGTCACCTCACAAGGGTCCTCAAGCGAATGGTAAGTAAATACCAAAAGCCCTATCCTTGGGTCCGAGAACGTAACTGGAGGGAAATTAAATAAATCGCAACTTACACCAACGATAGTCCTCTGCTATAGCTGCAGCCTCCAAGACGAACGAACGAACGTAGTAGATCGACGACGGTGAAAATCGATAACGCGCGCGTGTTCGTTCCACGCTCACCGCACCATGAAGGAATGCTAAAGCGAGAGCGCTTGGGAAAGTGTGGAGCGATTCCGACAGAGTAACACTATTTGAATAGCGTGCTAGGCGCTGGTGGCAATTGGGCAGAGTTTGCCTTAAAGTACTTGGTCGAAATTTCTGTAGAGTAGAAGTTCACTAGAAACATATATATATATCCAAAGTACAAAGAAGCATGCAAATATATAGGCAAGTGCAAACCCAACCAAAGTTGCGTGGCGCTGCGGGTGTAACCAACCACCCCAAAGTTGCAAAAGGGTTGGGCGAACGCGCCTCGCCCAATTCTCCAACCCAACTCAGCAAGGTTGGGTTTGCCGTGTACGCAACTCCAACCAGCAAGGCGAACACTGCCTTGCTGCTAACGAAAAACCATCGCGATAGCCATGACTACTTATGACTCGTCAGAGTCACTGGTCGTCGTGAGCATCTCCGGACTAGTCTGCACAAACTAGACATAGTCTTCGGACGCAATGGTTAGTCCATGCACCTTGATCACGCCAACCCGCAGCTGCCAGGCAACTGGTGCACCGACATAAGTCGGTCAACGCCTGGCTGCCCGCAGCTGCAGTAGGGCTTCCAACAGAGGGTGTCGCGCGGGAGAGAGGAGAGCGCGAAAGTCGACATGGAGTGAGAGGCTGAAAGAAGGTCGGGGTCAGGGCGAAGGTCTGAAAGAAGTCAGCACCCTCACGCTGACTGAAGCCACGAGCAAAGTAGCGTGCCTTAAAGACAGGCGGCTCTCAAGGAGGGCTCTTCACCTTGAAGAGCCAACGGCCATCGACTACGTTCACCCCAGGTGGGGGAACTGTGTCGACGAAGGTACCGGTGGACCTCCAAAATGCCATCTCCTGCTCCATGGCATCTATCCACTAAGAGGCATAGGGTCCCGAGGTATCGCCGGCCAGCGGCCCTGTCGCCTAGCCGCCCCACGGCCTCGTTACCTAGCCGTGCTTCTCGATCCCAACTCGCTACACCGCCCCTTCCCACTGTGCTCCACCGCACTGCACCACACTCCATCAAACTACACTGCTCTCCACCGCGCGGCACCACAGTGCGTTGCGTTCTATCGCACTGCACGGTGTTCTACCGCACTGCACCACGTTCTATCGTACTGCGTTGCGTTCTACCGCACTGCACCACACAGTAGTGGTCCGCGCCACACCACATTGCTCAGTACCGTACACTACCGCCTGTTCGTTTCTGTAGCGGCTATGATGGCAGACTCGGTGCTGCGCTTTGACTCGGAGGGTCAGCCTGTAAAGTTTGACGCGTGGCTCGTTGACCTCCGCCGTCAGCTCACTGGTCAGCGGCATGACAGCCATTCCTTGGCCGTCCACATCGACGGTATGCTCCCCTGTCCTGACCCCCCTGCCGCTCTCCCGGCTGACCCCACGTCTGCTGACTGTGAGTCCGCGGCCGCTGCTGCCCTTTCCCGTGCAGGAGTTCCTAGAGACTATTGTCGCGCGCTATTCCACTCCGTCCTCTGCCTCTGCCGGCCGCTTTATCCTTCCCATGCTCTGATACCATCTCAGAGTGAAAGAGTGACTAGATTGGAAAAATACAAGGGTATATAGCCTAGTGTGTTGTACTCTCTAAGGTATGATTCTATGTAGTTTATAACAACTTACACATATATGTTTGACATCACGCACTACCGAACCGAACCGCATTGATTGCACATTTTCGGCAATTGAACTGCACTGTACCACGCGCGTTGGATCCAACTTCACTGGATCCAATTTCACAGGAATCCGCCCTCAGACTAAGTACCGTAATCCCCCGTTTAAAACACCCGCCGGAATTAAGCTCCCTCGGGTAGCTTGAGCGGGTATGGGTGTTTATTTTTTCTGGATAGACACAACACCCTACCATGGGATGTGAAAACATTTGAACACCCCCCTGCCGCCTAGATTTTTTTTTTTTTTTTTTCAAGAAACACAAGAATTTGCGACGTGAAGATGTGTACTGCCGTTATTTTTCCTTCTCCTGCTGTGCCAACGGTATCAACATTTGTGGGAGTGGGGAAAACGAGCTACTGCCACTGTGCCGCGGGTATTCAGGTAGAAGATCCGAAATCTGCCCGATTGAAAAACAAAAAAAAAAAAAAAAAAAAAAAAAAACGCGAAATCGAGCACACCGAGCCGAACCAATCGCCGGGTGCCTCCTACTGGTCGGGAAACCGGCCGGCACTCATCAGGACACAGGTCACGCCTGCTGCACACGCTGTCTCCTTGACTCTGCACGTTCACTGCCGATTGTGGCATGCAAATGGTGAACAAAAGTCGTCGTTTGACTCAAATGAAGGTGGTGAAACATGCACATTTGAACTCCAATTGGGAATGCCATATGCATGTTCCAGGCCTGACGTTTCAAAAAAATCCCCCCTGAGCTGTGGACTAAAAAAAAAAATTACTCAGAGGGCTCAGTTTTCAAAAAATGCCTACCCTGATTTGTAAGTGTTCAGAAATCTGGAACCCTGAAAATCCCAGGGTTTACCGAACGCGTTCAGGGTTGCCTTCAACACGAGGGGGAAATAAAATGGGGGGAAAAACGGGAGGGAATCAAACCGAGGGGAGGGGGAGAGCGAAACGGAGGGGAAGGGGGAGTATGGAAACATAGGGGAAGAGAGGAAGCGAAACGGGGAGGAAAAAGGGGGGGGGGGGTCGAAATTCAGTAGTGATGAATGGGAGAAGCGAAACGGAGGGGAAGGGGGTATCGAGACGGAGGGGAGGGGGGAAGCGAAACGGAGGGAGAGGGGGGGATCGAGGCGAATGGGGCAGTGGCAGAAGCCTCCCGCGCTTGCAGCGCTATGGGCGAATTGAGTACGTTAATCATATGCGATCATATAATGGCTGAAAATTGTCGAAACGTTCGCGATTGATCGTGGCCGTCGAAGTTTGATGGACTTTCAGTTGACCACACGGGCAATAACAAAAGTGAATTTCTTTTTGTGCTATCACTGCCTATCAAGACTTAGCTAATTTTTGTGGGTTGTTAGTTAAGTGTGCCCCCGCCCAAAATCGCCGCCCTCCCCAATTCCCTCCCCCAAATCTCGCCCCACACCTCTCAAAGCCCGCTACATTCGAGAACTGCCTTTCTGGAAGCCAGGGTTATGTTTGGCTCGGCTCTGGTTTTACAGGGGTTTTTCCAGATGGGCCCAAATCGTCTGAGCTAGCAAAAAAACTAGCTCAGGTCGCGCAAATCTGAGCCGTTAATGCATGACAACGATGAACCTCTGAGAAACGTCGAAACGATCGCGTTAGATCTTGACCGTCAAAATTTGGTGGATTTTTTTTGGGGAACTGGGGGCCTGGGGAAAATTCCGAAATGAACCCATGCTGCTAGAAAACATCAGTTTGGCTAAACTGAGCGGGGAGGCGAAACGGAGGGGGCACGAGGATCAAAACGGAGGTGAGCGGGGGATCGACATGGAGGGGGATGTCTACGAGAGTGTCGGAGGGGGAATGTCTGTCTGTACACGAGGACTTAGACAATTTTTTGTTGAGGAGAGTGCTACTCTGGCTACTAGGAACTAGCCGATTATTTGTGGGTTGTTGTGGGTGTCGGGGGGGGGGGGGATGTCTACCATAGGCCTTAGCCGATATTTGTCAATTTTTGTGGGGTGTGTAGGGGGAATGTCTGTACAATTAGGACTTGGCCAATTTTTGTAGGTTGCTGTGTGTGTGGGGGTAATGTTTCTAGAGATTGGGGACATCGCCGAAATTTCAGGTCTGTGAGGCACGTGGAATCGCATTCAGGGTTCGTACGCGTTGCTCCCTGAAAACTCAGTATTGGCATAACGCAATCCCTGAAATCCCGAGTGTTCAGAAACTTACAACCCTGAAGGGGCTAGGGTTAAGAAAAGTCCAACCCTGAAAATTAAGGGCTGGCCGAAAAAATACCCTGTGAAATCAGGGAATCAGGGTAAAATACCCTGATATAAACAGCCCTGGCCTGTTCCACAGCTCCTGGGTGCTATTTTTTTTTGCCTTAAATTACACCCATCCCAAAATTTTCATGCATATTTATTAACACCATAGGGTGCTTTATACTTGAGTGCCAGGGGCAGCAAATAACTCTACGCCTTGTTATGCGTCAACCCCTCAGTTGCGTTAAGGGCCAGAGAACTTTCTACCGACTTTTTCTAGGTGTATTATTTGCTTCCACGCTCAATCTCGACTGAATCCTGATTGGTGCCCTGCAGGACCAATACCTGAGAAGGGAAACTCGGTGGGGGGAAGGGGAGAGAGGGTGGGAAGGAGGGATGAGGGAGGAGCGTACGGGAAGAGCTGGTCAAGCAAGGCAGGGCAAATACTGGTTGGAGGACGAGGGGGGATCAGTAAGAGGGGAGATGGGCTGGTTGGTACTCGGAAGGGACAAGGGACAAGGAGGAAGGGAGGAGCGGAAAGTAGGAGCTGGGCAAGCATGGCAGGGCAGGGCAAATACTAGATGGCGGATCAGAGGTGATCAGCAAGAGGCGAGAGGGGCGGGTTGGTTGGTTTTATATCCTCCCTCTCCACCTACACGCTTCACTCCTCTGATAAAATCAGCCCTGGACTTGAGTGCCAGGGGCAGCAAATAACTCTACGCCTTGTTATGCGTCAACCCCTCAGTTGCGTTAAGGGCCAGAGAACTTTCTACCGACTTTTTCGAGGTGTATTATTTGCTTCCACGCTCAATCTCGACTGAATCCTGATTGGTGCCCTGCAGGACCAATACCTGAGAAGGGAAACTCGGCGGGGGGAAGGGGGGAGAGGGTGGGAAGGAGGGATGAGGGAGGAGCGTACGGGAAGAGCTGGTCAAGCAAGGCAGGGCAAATACTGGTTGGAGGACGAGGGGGGATCAGTAAGAGGGGAGATGGGCTGGTTGGTACTCGGAAGGGACAAGGGACAAGGAGGAAGGGAGGAGCGGAAAGTAGGAGCTGGGCAAGCATGGCATGGCAGGGCAAATACTAGATGGCGGATCAGAGGTGATCAGCAAGAGGCGAGAGGGGCGGGTTGGTTGGTTTTATATCCTCCCTCTCCACCTACACGCTTCACTCCTCTCCTGCTCCCATTCTCCTTCTACCTTCTCTCACCCCATTCCCTCAATCCTAGACTTAGCCCTTCACCCAACTCTCCTGCTTGTCCTTCCCCTTCCCCTCACTCCCTACTGGATGCGCTGCTTCAGAGTCTGCTGCCCCACTCCACTCTCCCCACCCTTTTCCAATCTTCCTCTTTTTCACGACCCCCCATCCCCATCACACCAACAACCCCACCAGCTCCTCCCACGAGCCTGCTTTTTCCCCCCTCCACACCCCCTCTTGTGCGCAGCATCCGCTGCTCTTCAGTACTTACTCCCCCCCCCCCTCCCCCCCCTCCTCCCTCCACAGCAATCAGCGGAGGGGTGTCAGGTGAGGAGGGCCTGGGGACAGGAAGGGAGAGGGGGAAACGGGTATGGTGGATGGGCGAAAAGGCGAGGAATGCCAAAGGGACGTGAGGGGGTTGGAGGGAGAGGTTTGCGGAAGGAGAAAGGGGCTGGAGGAAGAGCAGAGGTGGCACCATCTCGTCCCACCTCCCCTGATTTTCCTTCCCCTCAATTGCTCTCCTTACTGGGTGCCCTACTTCTGACTTCGCCCCCACTATTCTCCTCAACCAAATCAGGTTGAACCTGATTTTTAAACTGTACCCTCTCCCAATCCAACCCAACCCCATTCCCCAAACACACCCACCACTCCCCCCCTCTTGAACCCTCCTCTCATCCCCTTGCCCACAGCACCCGCTGCAGTCCACTCGGCCGCTCCCCCTGCAGTCAGGGAAAGGTCAGGGGAAAGGGACGGGAAAGGGAGGAGAACGAAGGGGAATACAGGGAAGCATTGGGATGGGAGAGAGGTTTGGGTGATGGGCCGTTGTAAGGTAAGGGAGATGAATGGGGGAAACAAGGGGAGCACTTAGGAGAGGGAGAGAGTGAGATATTTTGGGAGATTGCAAGATGACGGGAGAGCAGGGGGAGAGGGGCGAGGGGTGTGGAACAAGGGGGGATTGGGGTGGGGTAGAGGGTGAGATGATGGGAAACTACAATGGAAGAGCAACGGAAACAAGGGAGGTATTTCGGACGGGGGAGAGGGTGAGGTGACGGGAAGACTGAGAAATAATGGGATAGGAGAGCAGCGGGGGGAATTAGGGGGGATTGGGGTGGGGTAGAGGGTGAGATGATGGGGAATTACGATGGAAGAGTAACGGGGGAAGAAATGGAGGTTTTTGGGACGGGGGAGTGGGAGAGATAACAGAGCATGCAAGAGGAGTCTATTTTTGAGGCGCCTCAAAAACAGAGCATGCAACACGATGGGAGAGCACGTGGAAAGACAGGGTGCGATAAAGCCGCGGCAGGAAATGGCGAGAGGGAGGGCATTGGGGGAAGGGCAAGGGTGCGAGAGGAGAAGACGTAAGTGCGGGGAGGAAAACGTGCTCGAGCGACGAGAGAGGTTTTTTAGCGACATTGGGGTTGAGGGGAGGGGGAGGGGGTGAGGGTGAGCCGAGAAGAGTGGGGGCGGGGGAAGCGGGACTAAAACCGAAGGGAACAAACAAAGAGGCTCGCAGGCGAGGTGCATATTGAGGGAACGATGCCACGCTTGAGGAAGAGGGAAGATTGGAGCACGGAGTATGCGCGAAAGGGAGAGTAAAATGCCCAAGGGGTATGTTGGAGAGAGGGCCAGTCGACGAGGGATGCGAATAGTAAATATCGGCTTCTGCGATGAGGCGTTTTGGCAGAGGTCAGGAAGATAAGTATTCTTTTGTAGGTCACCTTTGAGTCGACTCAAAAGTAATCTAGTAGTTAGGGCACTTTGTATCTCCTCTTGCTGCGGGAGTTCCAGGCGGCATGTATCGCGGGCGTCACCAATACCGCTCGAGCGTGGCTCGCGTGGTCCCAGGTTACATCGTCTCAACCCTTCGTCGCGTCGACAGTAATGCTACTCGTCGAAAATAGCGCGTCTATTTTGTCGAATTGACGACGTAACTTAGTCTGAGTGTCATAGTCTCCTGAAACTCTCGAGAAACCCTAACTTGGTGTGGGTGTACTGATATAGGTTGATTCACTATTGCGCTCACAAACGCTGCTTCCTTTTTTGCAGCTGCTCTTTCAACTCAACTGCGAAAGCTGATTCCAGCTGGTAAGCCAGTGGGGAGGAGCGGAACAGACTTCGCGCGTCATCACTGTTATGAATTATAACTCAGAGTATAGCGCAGAATACTATAAGGGAACGTGATTACAGAATCCTCCTGAATAATGAGACCTAGGGCGAGTTGACGAGGTCTAAATGTCGAGGGTTGGTCCAGTCAAGGGCTCGGTCGTCCGAGGGTGACGGGGTCAGAACGGGTTCGGAGCGACTCGGGGCCAGGTTGGGGCCGAAAAGGTCGTCGGGGGCTGGTTTGGCGCGATAAACCAGGGCCGAGCCTGCGGACCCGCACTGTTCGCGGTACTCGCTGTGGCGAGTCCCTGTAAGGAATCGGAATTCCTTACACTCTCCCACCTTCTAAAGGAAAGCCCTCCCTTTATCGAGGTCAAACCTTTCATCTAATTTAATCCCCGAAGTGACTGTAAGTCTTCAGCCCTGTGACGAGCGTAATGATTACGCCGGCCTGACGAGGTCTTGAGGTCGAACTGAAATCGATGGTCGGAAAGCGTCGAAACGATCGCTTCTAATCGCCGCCGTCGAAGATGGTCGAATTCTTCCGATGACCAAACGGGCAAGGGTAAATATGTCAAATATGTGTAGTTGTTATGTTTGCATAGACTGTATAGGGTCACCTCTTAGAGGGTACAATACTTAGGTATATCTATCTGTACTCTCCCACTAGTCAATCATTCAGTTCTCTCAGTTTGATATGGTATCACGCGTAGGTTAGGATCCCCCCACCTACCGCTTCCGCTCGTTCCCTAGCTAGCCCCGTCGCGACCCCCCTAGCCCCGTCGAGACCCCCTGGGCCCCGTCGTGCCCCTAGCCCTGCCGCGCCCCTCCTGGGCCACGTCGCGACCCCCTAGCCCCGTCGCGACCCCCCTGGCCCCGTTGCGACCCCCTGGGCCCCGTCGCGACACCCTAGCCCCGTCGCGACCCCCTGGGCCCGTCGTGCCCCTAGCCCTGCCGCGCCCCTCCTGGGCCTCGTCGCGACCCCCTAGCCCCGTTGTGACCCTCCCGGGCCCCGCTGCGCCCCTCGCCCTGTAGCGCCCCTCCTGGGCCCCGTAGCGCCCCTCCTGGGCCCCGTAGCGCCCCTCCTGGGCCCCGTAGCGCCCCTCCTGGGCCACGTAGCGCCCCTCCTAGGCCCCGTAGCGCCCCTCCTGGTCCCCGTAGTGCCCCTCCTGGGCCCCGTCAAGCCTTCAGGCCCCGTCGCACCCTGCCCGGCCCCGTTGCGCCCGCCCGGCCCCGTCGCACCCGCCCGGCCCCGTCGCGCCCGCCCGGCCCCTTCGCACCTGCCCGGCCCCGTTGCATCCGCTCGGCCCCGTTGCGCCCTGCCCGGCCCCGTCGCGCTAGCCCGGCCCCGTCGCACCCGCCCGGCCCCGTCGCACCAGCCCGGCCCCGTTGCGCCCTGCCCGGCCCCGTCGCACCCGCTCGGCCCCGTCGCACTCGCCCGGCTCCGTTGCGCCCTGCTCGGCCCCGTCGCGCCCGCTCGGCCCCGTCGCACCCGCCCGGCCCCGTTGCACCCTGCCCGGCCCCGTCGCGCCCGCTCGGCCCCGTCGCGCTCTCCGGGCCCTGTCGCGCCCTGCCTCGCCCCGCCGTGCCCTGCCTGGCCCTGCCACGCCCGCCCTGCCCCGCCGCACCGGCCCGGCCTCTGCGCTCATCCCTGCCCCGGCCCCTGCATCCTCACTGGTACGGTTCCCCCCCCCCCCCTCCCTGCACCGCCCTGCACCGCACTGCACTGCCCTGCATTGCACTGCACCGCCCTGCACCGCCCTGCACCGCCCTGCACTGCCCTGCATCGCACTGCACCGCACTGCACCGCCTTGCACCGCACTGCACTTCCCTGCTTTGCCCTGCACCGCACTGCACCGAACTGTCCTGTCCTGCACTGCCCCTGATGGCGGCGGAGCTTCGGTTCGATGCTGAAGGCCAGCCTCTGGAGTTCGAGGCTTGGCTTGCCGACTTCCGGCGCCAACTCACTGGCCATCGGTAGGATGGTGAACCGCTTTCCGCACACCTTGACGGTACGCTCCCCTGCCCAGACCCCCCTGCTGTTCTGCCCGCTGACCCCACACCCACTGAGCGCGAGTCTACTGCTGCCACTGCCCGTGCGTGCTCTGTCTGGCTTTCTCGAGATGCTGTCGCTCAGCTTGCCATTAGCAACGCCCTTCCCCCGTCCGAGCGCCCTCGTTTTAGGTCCCTCACTACTGCTCAGGCATACTTAGATGCTGTCATCAAGCGCTATTCCACCCCTCCGGCTGCCTCGGTGGGTCGCCTGATCCTCCCGATGCTCTTTCCTGACCTTGCGTCTTTCCCCACTGTCTCTGACCTAGCCGCCCACCTGCACTCGATAGATGAGACCTGGCGCGCTGCCTGCACTGACGCACAGCTTAGAGCCCACCAGCCGCCCATTACCTCTACCCTTTACCTGCTTGCCACCCGCCTCCCTGACCGCCTTGCTGTCGCCCGTGACCGCTTCCTTAGCATTCACCCCGGTGAGCTCACCCTCACTGACTTTGTAGACACCCTGACTGTGATTGAGACCCGCCACCGCTCCATCGCCCAGGCGAGCGGTACCGTGCCGGTCCCTATCTTTCAGGGTTGTGCCCCCGCTCAGTGTACCTTCTCCGACGGCTCTGCCGCTGTGGCTAAGACTGCTGCTGCAGCGCTGTTTCGTTCGGGGAAGGGCCGCCGCCCCAAGGTTGGGCGCGGCGGAGGAGGCGGGGGTGCGGGAGGGGGTGGTGGTGGAGTCGGGTCGTCTGGTGCTGGAGCGGACGAGGGGACCCTGCCCAGTCCAGCTGAGCCGCCGCCCCTACAATCGCAGCAGCAGCAGCAGCCACCGCAGCTGCCGCAGTCGCAGCAGCCGCAGCCTTCGCAGCAGCCGCAGCAGCCGCCGCAGCCGCCGCAGACGAGGCTGACGAGTGTCCTCCCGCCCGGGTGGCCCGGCGCTGGCGGTGGTCGGGCGCGTGGTGGTGTGCCGAGTGGTGGTTCTGGAGGCGTGCGTTGTCAGTACCAGATCCAGACCGGTCCTCGCCGCGGCTTCGTTTGCAGTAAGATCGGTCACTCCACTCCCCGCTGTTTTCGTCGCCTGGACGACCTGTTTCGTCAGCGCTTCGGCCTGTCCCCCGACCTCCCGGACTGGCACAGTTTGCTGACATGGACATGGATGCCATTGTTTCTGCTCTGCATGTGATGTATGCTGATGACTCTAGTGTGCTTCCTGCTTATTACTCACTGTCGGCTAGTGTAGGTGTGCCTCGCTTCGACTCCCCTGCTGCGTTAGGCGTAGGATCCCCTGCTTTGTTTAGTCTTGGTGCTTCCGCCGTCGTTCCGTCGCCAGACGCCTCTGCTTCGCTTTCCTTCACCTTGGACTCTGGCGCTTCCCGGTGCTACTTCCGCGACTTCACTACACTGACGCCGCTTCCTGTTCCTGCTGCCGTGTCTCTTGCTGACCCCTCCGGCGGTCCGGTAGTCGCCCGCAGTTCCACCACCCTTCCCTGTCCGGCGATTCCTTCGGGCACTCTCACAGGTCCGACTGGCACTTTTACGACCCGCCGTCTCACCGCTTCTTTCACTCTCGCGACGTCACCTTTGACGAGTCCGTCTCCTACTACCGTCGCTTCCCCCACCGCGGTTCCCCGGTTTCCCCCCCCTGTTCTTGGTCACTCCTTCCCCGGTAGTCCCTGCCCCACCTCCTCCTCCTCCCCGTCCTGCCCCCTCTGGTGTGTCCCACGTCACCCCCCTCCCGTCGGTGGACCCGGTTGAGAAGTCTTCTGACTCTGGTGGCCCTGCTGCGCAGTCCTCGCCGGCGTCCCCTCCCCAGTCCCCTCCTCCACCGCCTCTGCCGCCGCTGCCGCCGCCGCCGTCGCAGCACCCGTTCGCTGACTCTGGGGGTGCTAGTCCCGGTCGCCCTTGGGGTGGTCCCTCTGGGGGTGCTGGTGTGGAGTCTGCCAGTGGTAGCCGAGGAGCAGCTTGCGGACCCGGTGTCGTCGTTGTGCCGCCGCAGCAGCAGTCCCCGCCGGTGTCAGCCCTTCGCCTGCTCGGCCTTCCGTCCCCCGACCTTGCGTCTGTTCCTCTCCGACCGTCTCCTCCTCTTCCCGTCTACAGCCCTGTGTTCCCTCCGCCGGACTCGTCCCCGGCCCGTCTTCCCCCTCGTTCCCCTCCTGTGTCCCCTCCCCTGTCTCCTGACCCGACTCCTCTGTCACACGTCTGGTCTCACCGTCCCTCCCGTGCTCGTCCTGCCTCGCCTGTCTTGCGCTCTCACCCTATGTTGCTTCGTTCCCACTGCCGTCGCCTCCTCCCCTTCTGCCGTCGCGTCTCGTCCTCCCCTTCTGCCGTCGCGTCTCGTCCTCCCCTTCTGCCGTCGCCTCCTCCGTCCTCCCTTGTTGTTGCACCCCCCCCGCTGTCTGACTACCTTCGTGCCGCTCGTCCTCTTGTTCCTCGGGTACTTGCCTCTCTCGTTACCGACCCGTCTGTTCCGGTCTCGTGCCTTGACGCTCTTGTCGCTGCGGTCGCTGACTTCGCCTCTACCCGCCGCCTTGACTACGCCACCGCTCTGGTCTCTGACCCTGCCTGTCCTCCGTCTGTCGGGGGTGCTCCTGCCCTTGGCAGTGACGTCCTGGAGGACCGCCAGTTCGAGCTTGCTTTCCTGTCCGAGGCTGCTCCCCATCTCTGTTCCATGCTGCTAGTCCCTGAGGGTGACCCAGACGCTTTCGACATCCCGACCCCTCGCACTTACGCTGAGACGACATCGGGACCCTGGGCCTCGCAGTGGATAGCTGCCATGGAGCAGGAGATGGCATCTTGGAGATCCACCGGCACCTTCGTCGACGCAGTTCCCCCGCCTGGGGTGAACGTAGTCGATGGCCGCTGGCTCTTCAAGGTGAAGCGCCCTCCTGGAGAG